TGCATATATTAACTATTTAATCCGAATACATAAGCCTACATGTATATGTGTAAACAATGAGGTCTACACATATACGATGTATGTATACCGAATGGCAACAGGCCTATCCCGCCACCGTGCCTGTGTTCTGGGTGCGAAGCCTGCGGGATGTTCGCTGGGATCTCGTGGGAGGTTTCTCGGGGGCCTCCTGGGGGCAGTTTGGGCGTCCCGTAAGGGGCGTTCGGGTGACTAGTGGGGCCTCTTTGGGGCATCTTGGGGGCCTCCCGGGCTCTCCTGGGCGCCGTTTGGGGCCTCGGACGGTTCAGATGTTCGGTTCGTGTTCCCTCTTTTGGGCCCCTTTTGGGGCCGTCGTGGGGCCCTCTTGGGCCGTTTTGGGCACCTTTTGGGATGACTGTCCTGAACTCCTCTGGGGCCGTTTTGGGCCCTCTGGGGACCTCTAGGACCGTCTGGGGGCGTCGGGAAACCGAAAAGCGAGAACGCTAAAATCTTTCGAACACCTACTTCATGTTAAATCGATGAATTGGGCATGTTGGGGCCCTCTTGGAGGGCCTCTTGGGCCGTCGTGGGTCCATCTCAGGCGTCTCGGAGTATCAGTCGGCGATTCGAGGCCATTTGGGGCCGTTTTGAGGGCCTACGAAAGCTTTTTCGGTCCGTCTTGGGGCCCTCGTGGGCCCGAACAACTCAAGGGTCAAGTTCCCTCTGTCTCTCCCACAACACCCATTACTCCACTGCCTCTGTCTCCAACGCCACGCCTATTACCCAATCGGCTCCATCCTCAAGCCCAACTTGAAAAGAGCCTTCTACTCACCCCCCTCCGTCTCCCCCACAAAACCAAATACTCCGCAGCTTCCGTCTCGAATGCCACACCCAGTACTCAAGCGGTTCCTTCTCCAAGCCTAGTTTGAATCGGTCCTTCTCCTCAATTCCCTCCGCCTCCGCAAACCCGATATTCCACAGCCTCCGTCCCCAACGCCGCGCCCCCAAGCCTAATTTGAACACATATGTATACTAGCTGTTGTCCGTCTGCAACAGTCCATTCAGTACTCACCAGCCATCGTCTCCACGCCACACCCAATACCCAACAGGCGCCCTCCCAAAGGTGAACTTGAAACGATCCTTCTACTCAGCTCTCTCCGTCTCCAGCACCACACCCAGCACGCAACAGGCTTCCCCCATGATGATTATGAGACGACCCTTTTACTCAATTCCCTCCGTCGCCACCGCCACACCCAATACTCAACAGCCTTCGTCTCCAACACCAAATTCAATACTCCACAAGCTCCCTCCCTAAGATTAGGTGAACATCTAGCTCTACCAACTCACCCCGTCTCCACCGCCACGCCCAGTAGTCACCAGCCTCCGTCTCCAACTCCACACCCAATATTCAACAGGCTCCCACCCCAAGGTGAACTGGAAACGATCCTTTTGCTCAACTCCCTCCGCCTCCAACGCCACACCCAGTACTCGCCAGCCTTCGTCCCCAACACCACGCCCAATAGTCAACAGGCTCCCTCCCCAAGGTGAGCTTGAAACGATCCTATTACTCAACTCCTTCCGTTACCAACACCACAACCAGTATTCACAAGCTTTCGTCCCCAACACCACACCCAATAGTCAACAGGCTCCCTCCCCAAGATGAACTGAAACGATCCTTCTACTCAACTCCCTCCGTCTCCAACACTACACCCACTACTCACCAGCCTTCGTCTGCAACCCACGAGCCAACCCACTCCGAGGCCTCCGCCTCCACGACTGGCGCACTTACCTTGAACGCCTTTTTCGTTTTGACTTCTCCCAAGAGCAAAAGGGGGACATGATGCGTGCGGATACCTGTATGTATATATATATATATATATGTATACATATATATACATATGTATATATGTATGGTGTATGTGTATATATACACATATTTACGGTAGGGGGCATTTGTTAAGGAATGGGCCCAGGAGGCTTCAGACCCAGGGGGACTCCTTATCTGATAATGGCGGCCGTGTTATTCATGACCGGTCCATGGTCGGAGTTTCACAGGCTTGCAGACCCTGGATGTTTTATTTATGGGTTCCGTATCCAATGCCCTCACCGTGTGTATGTATATATATATATATACATATGGACGCCGTATGTTCATACATATATGTATATTCATACACTCTATATATAGAGAGAGAGGTATATCCCGCGTAGTCTACACCAATATCTTGCACCGTGCTTATGTGTGTATATATATAGCGCTCCGGATAAACCATGCACCCCGTGTTCCTATCTCATATATGATTTTCAAACTGAGTTTCACAATTCCCGAAATCATTCCTGAGGAACAGTTTCGAATGCTTGTTTTGACCAATCCTTCTGTTTCGTCCACAGCGCGCAATGCTCCGCTGTCTCTGTCCCCAACACCACACCCATTATTCAACAGGTTTTCTCACCATGCCCAATAAAAAAAACCCTTCTGCTCAGTCCCTTTTGTCTCTTCCACAACGTTCATTATTTCACAGCCTCAGTTTCCAAAGCCACGCCTATTATTCAAACGGCTCTCTCCTCAAGCCCAGCTTGAAAAGGGTCTTCTATTCACCCCTTTCCCCCTCCCCCACAAAACCCGATACTCCGCAGCCTCCGTCTCCAATGCCACACCCAATACTCAACAGGCTCCCTCCCTAATCCTAGTTGGAAACGGTCCTTCTCGTCACTTCCCTCCGTCTCCACAAAACCCAGTTTTCCACAGCTTCCGTTCCCAACGCCGCACCCCCAATCCTAATTTGAAAACGTATTTCTACTCGCTGTTTCTCGTCTCCAAGACCGCACCCAGTACTCACCAGCCTTCGTCTCCACGCCGCACCCCATACCCAACAGGCGCCCTCCCAAAGGTGAGCTTGAAACTAACATTTTACTCAATTCACTCAGCCTACATCACCGCACCCAGTATTCAGCAGCCTTCGTTTCCAACGTCGCACCCAATACTCGACAGTCTCTCTTGCTAAGATGAACTTGGGACGATCCTTTTGCTCAGCTCCTTCCTTTTCGAACACCACACCCAGTATTCAGCAGCCTTCGTCTCCAACACCGTAACCAATAGTCAACAGGCTCGTTCCCCAGGTATGAGCCTTCGAGCCTTAAAGCCGTAGGGTCTTACAATGCTAGGCTCTTGGGGTCTTAAACTCTTAGGGCTCCAGGGTCTTAGTGCCTTGGGAGTCCTAGGGGTTCGCGCCCCAGGGCCTTATGGTCGTAGTGGTTTTGAGGGTCTCAGGGCCCTGTGGTGTTTGGCGCTTAGGGCTGTAGATTTTAGTGTCTTAGGGCCTCAGCGTCTTGGTGTCGTAGGGTCTTTGAGACTGTGAGTCTGAGGCTCTTAGGGTCTCGAGGCCTTTCGGCCTTAGCGCCTTACGGCGCTAGGATTATACGGTCTCAAGACCTTGAGAGGGCCTTGAGGTCTTACGGATTTGGCATGTAGGTGTCTTTGGGTATTAGGACCATGCGGTCTTAAGATATTGGACTATTTGGGCCTTTGGGTTTAAGGGTCCTGAGACCCTGAGGCTTCAGGAGGCACATCAAAATCATGAGGTATTCAGGCATTTGTGGCTGCGGCCAAAAAGCGGCGCCAGGCCGAATAGAGGTGCCAGGAGCGCCAGCGGGCGTCAGGCTCATAAGGGCGCTAGGCCGAATAGAGGCGTCAGAAGCGTCACCGGGCGTCAGGCCGAATAGAGGCGGCAGGAGCGTCACCGGGCGTCGGGCCAATAGACGTCAGGCCGAATACATCCACGTGACAAAAGTTTATAACAAAAGCGGCACAGGAATGGAAGCCGAAAAGATGTTGAATCCCACCAGGCGGGGCCCGTCGCATCAAGTGACATCCGCCTGTCAATGTTACGGAAAACGTATCGTCTGCATTGCGCGTTGCTCGTTAGCCATCCGACTGGTGGGAACGAAACCCCAAGGCAGAACGTGGAACCGCCCACGCCAGCGACCCTGCGAAGGACGAACTTGGAAGAGCACCCGGGCAGAAAGTGGCGTCCGCCTCCCAATGTTGCCACTGGGCGCGCAAGCTAAAGTGTGGCATATCAATGACCTGGCCCATGGTGCACGCCTGCGCGCGCTGCCAGCATTGAAAGACGAATCTCACTTAATGATCCTCTTTGGGCGTTGCCGTCTGCAGATCATTCATGATGATCGTCTTGCTGATTTTGTTATAAGTTTTTCCCCGGCTGTGTAGAGGCGTCAGCGCCGCCGGGCGCCAGGCCATTACAGGCGTCAGGCCGTATAGAGACGTCAGGGGCGTCACCGGGCGTCAGGCTAACAGAAGCGCCAGGTCGAATAGAGGCGTCGAGGGCCGCCCCCAGCAGAGACGGCGCACATCAGGTAGATGTTGCGCGGGCCGAAGCACAGACGTCAGGAGCGTCACCAAGCGTCAGGCTAGTAGAGACGTCCGGCCGAATAGAGGCGTCAGGGGAGCTACTGGGCGTCAGGCTAATAGAGGCGTCAGTCCGGACAGAGGCGTCGGAAGCGTCACCTGGCGTCAGGCCAATAAAGGCGTGGCCGCGGCTTCTTCGACGCATCGAATCGTCAAATCGCGTTTTCGTCTTCAAACATTCCGGTCAACCCTTTTGTGCCTCTCCCCGGTATGTATAATAATAATAATGTTCGTACCAAGAATAAGAATTCTCAGAAGATTATTCGTATGGTTGTCAGTAGCATTATTTATACTAGTATTGTTACTACCAAGTATGAGTAATAATGCGAATTCCATCACTACTCAACATTCGGATAATCGTACGCATACGAACACAATGGATAAGCATACGAACCCAACTAGTAGTAATATCGTATGAATAGGAATAATCCGACGGCGACTTCTAGTAACACGAGTACTACTCCTTATAATAAGCATACCAACGTTAGTAATGTTATTATTGATGACGTTATTAGTATTAAGAAGTAAACGCCATAATCATACTTATATGTGTGTGCGTGTGCGTGCGTGCGTGCGTGTGCGGCGGCGCCCAAAGGTAGCGGAGGAGGTGGCCGCCGCGGCAGCGAACGCCTCAGACGAGGAGGCGGCCCCCGCCGAGCCCCGGGGCTCCGCGGGGGGGAAGGGCGAGGCGCAGGGCGAGGAGGAGGCGGCCGCCAGCGAGGAGGAGGCCGCCGAGCCGCCGGCCGCCGAGGGGGGCCCTGCCGAGGAGGCTGCCGCCCCGCCCGCGGCCGCAGAGCCGAGGGAGGCCCAGCAGGCCCCCAGCAGCGACGACGCGCTGGAGCGGCAGCTGCAGGTGCTCATGGGCAAGCTCGCGGAGAGGAGCCCAGGAGGGGAAAACGCGCGCACTTCATCGTCGACCCCCAGGAAAAAACATGGGAAGAGATGGGGGGCGGGGGGGAAGATGACAGCCCCGAGAGTATTGGAAGATGTGGGGAATCCTGGGACGGGTGTCTGTTTCTTTGTGTGCCCCTGGGTCCCTTCCAGGAAGGCCGCCGAGCAGCGGGCCGCGAGGGCCGCCGCCGCGGAGCGCACCGCCGCGGAGCGCGCCGCCGCGGAGGGCGCCGCCGAGGAGGGCGCCGCCGCGGAGAGCTCCGCGGCCGCGGAGGCGGGGGCGGCCGCGCCGCAGCAGCTGGAGGACCTGGAGACCGGGGACCCGGTGGCCGCCCGCCCGCCGGAGCCCGCCGCGCGCGAGGGCGACCGCTCCGCCCAGGGGAGGGGCCCCTCGGGGGGGAAACTGTTGGAGTCGGGCGCGTCCCTCTACAGGAGGAGTATCCAAAAGCTCCAAGAACAGCCCACAAATAGTCGGGGGGCGATCTTTCTATTATTTTCGATCATTTTTTGATATTTGTACTATTTTGCATTTTTCGCTCAAAATCCGCCTGTAGGAGGACATGCCTGACTTAAGGGTAAGACGAGGCCTCGGCCGTGAACCCACATCGCGGCGGGTCGGTCGCTTCCGGATGGCGCACTGGGGCACGGTCGACGCAGCTCGTCTCCAACCCTTCCCTTTTCTTCCTTTATAGTCTTGTTTTTCAGTCAGCCCGCCCAGTAAGGATGGGCAACCTTCCGAAGGGCACCCCTTCCTAGTAAGGATGGGCAACCTTCCTAGTAAGGATGGGCAACCTTCCTAGTAAGGATGCGCATCCTTGCCCCTCGGCCAACCTCGTCCGAACCACGCTCGCATGGGCCTCCTGGGCCCTCGAACCCTTTACCGCGCACCCTTGTGATGCGGGTTGGCCCTGCCGCCGTCCCTTCCGAGCACCGGGCGGCGCGCCCGGGCGGGGCCCCCCCCTCGGAGCCCCCCACGGAGCCGCGCGGCGGCCCCGTGGGCCTCCGATGCCTTATGTGCAGCAGTTGCTCGGTGCCGAGGGTCCCCGAGGGCTTCGGGCCCGGCCGGCCTCTTCCCGAGGGCCCGGCGCTGGCTCCCAGGTCGTCCCTCGACGGCTCCGAGGCCCTCCCCAAGGCACCATCGCGTCGTAGGGAACTTCAAGGCGAGCGGTCTCGTCGCGCCCGACGTCTGATGTATATCTTCCTCTTCCTCCTATCTTCTTACAAGCCTGGGCGGTTGGAGAACCCCTCGCCCTCCCCCCCCCAAAAACCGGACTCCCGGGATCTGGGGCTTTGGGAACCTCCGGACGGCCCTCGAAGCGGCCCCCCGGGCCTCGCAGGGCGTTTTGCCAAGCCTTCCCAGCACACCTGGGGCGATCAGGGGGGTCATCGGAGACGTCCCAGAGACCCCCAAGACAGCACGAGAGCGCTCCAAGAGTGACCGACGTGACCTCAAGATGGCCCAGAGGCCTCCAGGACGGCCTCAAAGGCTTCAAAGAGCCTTCAAGAGCACTCCCCAGAAAGCCCCAAGAGGCAAACATTATTGATTTTCTATGGTTTTGGAGGGAATTTTGGGGTTCTCCTCTTTTCGGCTTCCCGACGCTCCAATACGGCAGTCCTGGGCGTCCGAAGCCGCCTGGGAGGCTCCAAAATCGCCCCACAACCATCCAAAAGGGCTTCCAGGCAGTCCAAGAGAGCCCCAAAACGGCACAACAGGGGTCCAAGATGGCCCTAAGAGTGCCCCATGGCGGCCCAAGACGGCCCCAAGACACCTTCCGAACCATTCCAAATCGTGACCCGGTCGTTCAGGGAGACCGCGGTTGGAGGCAGGGTGGCCCGAGGAAGCCCCCAGAACCTGCAGAACAAGACCTCCAGAAGGCCTCCAGAAGGCCTTAAGAAAGCCTGAAACTTTTGTGAGGCCCCCGAGCCTCCGCAAAAAGAGCTGAGGAGGATGGGGAGAATACGCAGGGTATGGCGAGAATGAGGAAAAAGAGGCATGGAGAAAGGATAACGAATAACATTATTTTAGCGGCGATGCTGGAAAAGGCAACAAGGAGTTATCGCTGAATTGTCGGCTTGACCTTCCTGCCATTCCGCCTGCATACCAAACTTCAAAGGACCAAGGTGCATGGCTCGAAGCGCCACTGCAGTCTTGTATATAATTTTATATATACCCACAAGTTTCTCGTTGCGGGGTCCCCCGAGGGGGCCCGGCGCTTGCTCCCGGGTCGTCCTCTGCCAGTTCCGATCGGCGCTACCCCAGCATATTATTGCGAAGGCCTTGCGGCCGGTGCCGCCGACCCTGAAGGGAGACGACGACGACGACGACGACGACGACGACGACGACGACGACGACGACGACAACGGCAGCGGCGGCAACGACGACGACGCGGACGTGGGCCAGAGTCCTCAGGGATTGTTCTTGGGGTCTCTTCGGAAGTCTCTCGGGGGCCTCAACATTCTATCACAATATGTGCGTCGCCCCCCAGGGGCGACGCGCGCACCGAGAAGTCGTATAGTACGTGCGTCGTGGCGGGCACTTTCTGGCCACACCGCTCGGGAAACGATCTGCTACAAGGTGGGTGTACTATACGTTCGGGTCGGACGCGCGCGTCCAAGGAGGACCCGTAGTACTAGCATGTCTTCGCGCGTCTCATCCGAGGCCCTCCCCAAGACACGATCGCGTCGTGGGAAGAAAGTTCAAGACGAGCCGTCTGTCGCCACTCTTCTGCGTAGTACTAGCATATCTTCGCGCGTCTCATCCGAGGCCCTCCCCAAGACACGATCGCGTCGTGGGAAGAAAGTTCAAGACGAGCCGTCTGTCGCCACTCCTCTGGCCCCTGCACGGAGGCCCCCGCCGGCCCCCGGGCCGTCATCAACACGGCCCAGGATGGACAAAACCGGTCCTGGGGAACACCGCGCATTTTTTGGGGGTGGAGGGCAGAGGGTGAAGTCTGACAGGCCGTTTCGATTGATTCTCGAGGCTTGAATCTGCAAAAGCTGGATCACAAGACGGAAGATTCTTCGAGGTGCGAGAGCCCATATGGATTTCACCCTGAGCCCTCCACCCTAAGAGCATGCCCAGGAGCAGGGTCGGGACTTCCATAGGGGCCGCGCCTCGAAAAAATCAGGGGCTCCCAGGGACCGCGCCTTGGAAAAAGCAGACGCCTGGGCCCGAGGCCCAGAGGTCGGCGCAGCACGTCCGCACCGAGGCGCTCGAGGCGCCGGAGGTCTGGAGATGTCCCTTCTCTTGCCTGGCGGGGCCCATGTCGGTCCGATCGATCCGGTTCGAGATCGGCTTTTGCATTCAGATTGCTGGTTTCTGAATTCCAAAGGCCAGTTTCTGAGTTCCAAAACCAGTTTTCCGAATTCAAGAACCGGGGTCTCGAATTCGAAAACCAGTCTCTGGCCGGCCCGATGCGGTTCGATTCCGAGTCTCGGGCGATCCGACGCGGTCCGAGGCTTGCATGGCGCTGCGATGCATCCTGGCGCCAGTGTGCGCGAGGGTCGCATCCGATCACTTGCGTGGGTGTCGGATTGGTTGGTGAGCGCGGGTGTTCTGGTCGCCTCACCCCACCCGGATTTTGTACCCCTGCGCTTCTGGTGCCCTTCGTGGTTCTGCCGAGATTCCGGAAGAGGAGGAGGAGGAGGAGGAGGAGGAGGAGGAAGAGGGAAGAGGGAGGAGGAGGAGGAGGAGGAGGAGGAGGAGGGAGGAGGAGGAGGAGAGGAGGAGGAGGAGGTGGAGGAGAAGGGAAGAGGGAGGAGGAGGAGGAGGAGGAGGAGGAGGAGGAGAGAAGGGAAGAGGGAGGAGAGGAGGAGGAGGGGGGAGGAGCAGGAGGAGGAGGAGGTGGAGGAGAAGGGAGGAGGGGGAGGGGGGGGGGAGGAGAGGAGAGGAGGAGGAGGAGGAGGAGGAGGAGGGAGGAGAGGAGGAGGGGAGGAGGAGGAGGAGAAGGGAGTAGGGGGGAGGGCCCTGGGGGTCGCCCCCCCCGCGCGCAGCCGCCTCGAGGAGCAGGGCGAGGAGGCGCGGGGCGAGGCGGAGGCCGCCGAGGGAGCGGGCGCCGAGGCGGCGGGCGCCGAGGACGCCTCCGCCGCCGAGGCCGCGGCCGCAGAGGCGGGGGCGGCCGAGCAGCAGACGCTCGAGGACTCGAGCAGCAACAACTTCAACAGTAGCAGCAACAGCAGCAGCAACAACACGATCAACAACAACAGCAACACCACCACCAACAACAACAATTGCAACAGCAACAACAACGACGACAACAGCAACAGCAACCACAACAACAACAACAATAACAACAACAACAACAACAACAACAACAACAACAACAACAACAACAACAACAACAACAACAACAGCAACAGCAACCACAACAACAACAACAGCAGCAACCACAACAACAGCAACAACAACAACACCAACACCAGCAACACCAACAACAACAACAACAGCAGCAACCACAACAACACCAACAACAATAACCATGTTAAGACTGTTCGCTCTTACCTGCTCGAGTGTCCGTTAACGCGTATTTCCTGAACCCTCGATGCCCATCCTCTTCGTCTTCGATCGTGCCCTTTTTTGGGGGGTATACCTTTCCCTGCAGGCCAGGCCCCGCCAAGCGGCGGGGCGGCCGCGGACCGTCGGCCTGGCCAGCGGCAGCGCTGATCGGCGGCAACCCGACCCCAAGAGGGACGGACAGGGGACCGACCACGACGATGACGACGACGACGACGACGACGACGACGACGACGACGACGACGACGACGACGACGAGCGAGCGAGAGCGAGAGCGAGAGCGAGAGCGAGAGCGAGAGCGAGAGCGAGAGCGACAGCGGGGCCACGAGGGGCATGAAGTAGGCCACGAAGGGCGACAGCGGGGACACGAAGGGAATGCGTATGGGGCCACGAAAAGCGCGAACGAGCGGGGGCCACGAAACGCAGATAATGCGGGGCCACAGAAGGCAACCACGGGGCCACTGTGGGCTACGTGGGACAGCGAGGGGGCCACAAAGGGGCACGGCGGGGCCACGAAGAGCACGTGCATGGCGCCACGACGGGCGCGAACGAGCGGGGGACACGAAGGGCGTGCGTATATTGGGCCGCTGAGGGCAGGAAAGGGGCCAAAAAGGGCGACAGCGGGGCCACGAAAGGCATGCGCATGGGGCCACGACGGGCGACAGCGGGGCCACGAATGGCGCGCATATGGGGCCACGACAGGCGCGAACGAGCGGGGGCCACGAAGGGCATGCATATATGGGACCACGAAAGACAGTGAGGGGGCCACGAACGGCTGCAACGGGACAAGGGCAGCGATGGGGACCGCGCTGGGCTGCAACGGGGCCACGAAGGGCAGCGCGTGGGCCACGAAGGGCTGCAACGGGACCACGAAGGGCAGCGAGGGGGCCGCAAAGGGCTGCCGCGGGGCCACGAAGGGCAGCGAGGGGGCCACGAAGGGCTGCAACGCGGCCACGAAACAAAGCGAAGGGGCCGCGAAGGGCTGCAACGGGGCCACGAAGGGCAGCGAGGGGGCCACAAAGGGTTGCAACGGGGCCACGAAAGACAGCGAGGGGGCCGCGAAAGACTGCAACGGGTCGACGAAGGGCAGTCATGGGGGCCACGAAGGGCTGCAACGAGGCCACGAAGGCCAGCGAGATCCCGATTCTAAAGTAATCTGTGAAGGGGGTCCTGTGCGTGAGCACGACTCTTGGGTGCCTGAGTGTCGGGAGCGCGGCGCTTGAGTACATTGCGGGAAATTCCAACGCAAGGGCACTATTCTTCAGTAAATTGCAAGCAAGTCTCCAGCGATAGCGCGACTCCAGAGCGCCGAGACAGCGATTCCTGAAACAAACGCAAGGAAATCCTAAGCGAGAGCGCGATGCCTGAATAATGCGAGGAAGTCTCGGGCGGGAGTGGGGGTCCTGGCTAAATTGTGAGGAAGTCTCAGGCGGGAGCCGTTGTTGTTGTAACCCGGGGGCCAACAACACAGTTTGAGGAGGAACGTTGTCCCTGATGAAAATCAGGGTGCGAGCGCCGGGAGGGGCACTTCAATTGAAACATGCAATGTGCACCAGTGGGGATCAGCAGTACATATTTGTCAGCCGTGAGAGTTCAACAATCATGTCAAGACTGTTCGCTCTTATCTGCTCGAGCGCCATCCAACGTGTATGTCCCAAGCCGTCGATGCCCACCCCTTTCGTCTTCGACCATGCCCCTTTTGGGGGTTGTATCTTTCTTCTCTGCAGGCCTGGCCCCGGTAAGCGGCGGGGTGGCCGCGGACCGCCGGCTTGGCCAGCGGCAGCGCTGATCGGCGGCAACCCGACCCTAAGAGGGACGGACAGGGGACCGACCACGGTGACGACGACGACGACGACGACGACAACGACGACGACGACGACGACGACGACGATGAGCGAAAGCAAAAGCGAGAGCGACAGCGGGGCCACGAAGGGCACGAAGTAGGCTACGAAGGGCGACAGCGGGGCCACGAAGGGCATGCGCATGGGGCTACGACGGGCGCGAACGAGCGGGGGCCACGAAGGGCATATAATGCGCGGCCACAAAAGCAACGACGGGATACGACGGGGCCACTGAGGGTAGCAACGGGGCCACGAAGGACAGCGATGGGGGTCGCAAAGGGCGACGGCGGGGCCATGACGGGCATGCATATGGGGCCACCACGACGGGCGCGAACGAGCGGGGGCCACGACGGGCATGCGTAGATTGGGCCGCAGAGGGCAACGACGGGGCCACTGAGGGCAGCAACGTGGCCACGAAGGACAGCGAGGGGGCCGCGACAGGCGACAGCGGGGCCGCGGAACACATGCGTATGAGGCCACGACGGGCGCGAACGTGCGGGGGGCCACGAAGGGCGTGCGCATATGGGGCCACGAAGGGCAGCGAGGGGGCCACGAAGGGCTGCAACGGGGCCACGAAGGACAGCGAGGGGGCCACGAAGGGGCGCAGTGGGGCCACCAAGGGCAGCGAGGGGGCCACGAAGGGCTGCCGCGGAGCCACGAAGGGCAACGAGGGGGCCACGAAGGGCTGCAACGGGGCCACGGCACAAAGCGAGGGGGCCGCGAAGGGCTGCAACGGGGCCACGAAGGACAGCGAGGGGGCCACGAAGGGTTGCAACGGGGCCACGAAAGGCAGCGAGGGGGCCGCGAAGGACTGCAACGGGTCGACGAAGGGCAGTGAGGGCGCCACGAAGGGCTGCCACGGGGCCACGAAGGGCAGCGAGGGGGCCACGAAGGGCTGCAACGCGGCTACGAAAGGCAGCGAGGGGGCCACGAAGGGCAGCGAGGGGGCCACGAAGGGCTGCAACGGGTCTGCGAAGGGCAGCGACGGGGCCACGAAGGGCTGCAACGGGGCCACGAAGGGCAGCGAAGGGGGCTACGAAGGGCTGCGACGGGGCCACGAAGGGCAGCGAGGGGGCCACGAAGGGCTGCAACGCGGCTACGAAAGGCAGCGAGGGGGCCACGAAGGGCTGCAACGGGCCTGCGAAGGGCATGCGTATATGGGGCCACGAAGGGCAGCGAGGGGGCCGCGAAGGGCTGCAACGGGGCCACGAAGGGCTGCAGCGGGGCCACGAAGGGCAGCTAGATTCCGATTGTTAAGTAAGCTGTGAGGGAATCCTAACGTGAGCGCGACTCCTGGGTGCATGATTGTCGGGTGCGCGGCGCTTGAGCAAGTTGCGGGGGGTGCCAATGCAAGGGCGCGATGCTTGAGTAAATTGCAAGCGAGTCTCCAGCGATAGCGCGACTCCAGAGCGCCGAGACAGCCATTCTTGAAACAAGCGCAAGGAAATCCCAAGCGAGAGAGCGATTCCTGAGTCAAGTGCGAGGAAGTCTCATGCAGGAGCGGGGGTCCTGGCTAACTTGTGAGGAAGTCTCAGGCGGGAACCGTTGAATTCTCATTTTTGAAGAATGAGTATTGCTGATTCCCCCTCATCGGTGCATATGGTTTTTCCCCATCAAAGTGTGCCCCTCGACGCTCGTACCCTGTTTCTTGACAGGGAAAGTCTTGGTGCTCAAATTGTGCCCCTGGCCCTCTGGATTACAACGACACAGCTCCCGCCTGAGACTTCCTCTAAATTTGCTCAGGGGGCCCGCACTTGAGACCTCCTTACAATTTACTCAGGATCGGTGCTCCGGCCTGTGACTCCCTCGCAATTTGGTCACGACCCCCGCTCCCATTTGAGACTTCCTCACCATTTACTCAGGAAAGGCGCTCCCGGTCGAGACTTCCCCTGCAATTGAATCGAGACTTCTTCGCAATTAAATCAAGACCCCCGCTCCCGCCAGAGAATCCTTCACATTTTATTTAGGAATTGCGCTCTCGCCTGTGACTTCCATGCAATGTATTCAGAAATCAAACACGCTGCGCCAAGGACGCCGTTACAATTTAGTAATCGCGCCCCCGCCATACTCAGGCATCCCGCTTGAATGTCCCACCCGCCCGACCCGCTCGTCAGGGGATTGCCCGCCCGTCGTGGGCTCCCGCCCGAGACTTCCTTCAGGAACGGCGATTTCGCTTAGGATTCCCTCGAACGTTCACGCTTTTACCTTTCTGCTCCTCCTCCCTCTCCCTCCTCCCTCCTCTCCTCCCTTCTCTCTCCCCCCTCTCTTCCCTCATCCTTATGCCTCTCTGCCCTATCCCCTCTCCTTCCTCTCCCTCCTCCCTTTCTCCCTCCACTCTCCTGCCTCCGCCCTCTTGTTGTTTGTTTGTTGTTTGTTGTTCTCTCTCTCTCTCTCTTTCTCTTTCTCCCCTCTCTCTCTCTCTCTTTCTCTGCCTCTCTTATATGCTTTGTTCTATCTCTCCCTCTCTCTCTCTCTTTCTCTCTCTCTCTCTCTCTCTTTCTCCCTGCCTCTAATCAACCGCCCCCCTCTTCGTTCCTTCTCTCCTGGCGTTTTCCCTCTTTCTTCGTCCCTCCCCCTCCCTTCCTCCCACTCTCCCTCGTTCTCCCCCTCCTCTTTTTGCAGGGCCCACGTCAACTCCAATGGCGGGCACATGTGCGCCCACGAAAGATTGTCCGCCCGTTCAGGTTTGCCCGCCCGTCTAAGCCCGCCGCCCCCCGCAAAGAGAAACAAGATCCTCAAAGGGGGCGTGATCGAAGACAAAGAGGGCGGGTATCGAGGGTGTGGGGAACTCGTTTTGAATGACACGCGGGCAAGTAAGAGCGAACAGTCTTATAATGATTGTTGTTGCTGTTGTTGTAATCCGGGGACCAACAACACAGTTTGAGCTGAGTGACTTTCCCTGATGAAAAGGACGGTGCGAGTCCCGGGGAAACGCTTCAATTGAAAAACACAATCGTCACCGGAGGGGGGCATCAACAATAATTATTCTTCAATAGTGGTAATTCGATAACAACAACAAAAGCAACACCAACAACAACAACGACAATGACAACGACGACAACAACAAAACGACCAACAACAACAACGACAACAACAACAACAACAACAACAACAACAACAACAATAACAGCAACAACAACAACAACAACAACCACTAAATGGCACCACCCCACCCCTGCGGCCCTCCATGTCTAGGGGAACGAGCAACGACATAAACTTCGGATTTCTCGGATCGGCGCTGTACCCCCCTCCTCGGCGCGCGGAACGCGCCAGGGGCGGCGCCGGAGGCCCGCCAGGGGTTCCAGCGCCGATGCGAAAAGGCCGCGCGGACGTCCCAGATAATACGTTTATCTGGGTCGTCGCTCCCCTGATGTTGCGCTACGGCCCATCGGGCGCCCTGGCGTAGGCCACGCAATAGTCCAGTCCAGATCTCCTGGTCTGCGTTGAGCCCAGCGGGGCCGCAGGTGGGGGGGGTGTCGTTTGGTTTCTGGCCCGAGGACCTGGAGACGGGGAGTCAGGTGGCCAGCAGCCCGCCGGAGGAGCAGGATCGGGGGCCGCCTCCGGCGACTACAGAGGGTGTGCTCCGATGATGTTCAGGACGTGTGTGGGCCCAGAGCGGTGCGCTTCCCAGCCAGACACGCTGATCCCAGAGGCTCTTCAACGCTATTTCTGAAGAGTGGATATTGTGCAGAATGTTCATCCACCACTGATTGCGCAGCGTTTTGATCATCCACCCGTCAGTTTTTTACAGGGGATGCTACCATCCGCCGGTAATTCAACGATATCCACCAGGAAACCAACATGCACCAGAAAACCAACATCCACCAGTAATCCAACATAAAACATTATCAACGTCCACGGACATGGCCAATTTTCAATCCGATGTCCATTGCGCGTCCTTTGTCCAGTCTGCGCCCCATGAACAGCATCATCATCCATCCGCCCACATACCCTGCGATTTTACAGCGCGTCTCCCACCCCATCAGTATTATACCCATGTCGCTTTCGCCCTTATCCTGCCGACCGCCCCGTCTCCCCCCGCGTGAACCTTTTCGTTCTCATCCAGGTGTCTGATCACGATTGACATAACTGGTGTTTCTTTTCATCCATATCCTCGTCGCCAATCTCGTCTCCGCTTCCGTCCTAAAGCAGCATTGGTGTCATTTGTTCCCTCGTCGTCGTCCACGTGGTCTTCTTCAATGGATTATCTCTGGGGCCTCTGGCCATCTTTTCGAGGCATTTGGAAACGCCACGGGGGCCTCGTGGTGCCTTTCTCTCGGGCCGTCTTGGGGCCCTTGGGGCAATCTCGGGGGTCTCTGCGGCCGTGCGGGGGCACTGCGCGATCTCCTGGAGGCCGTCTGGGAGGCCCGCCGGCCTGCCACGAGTGGACGCAATCCCGAAGCAGCGACAAGGCGAAGTCCGCTAATGAGCTACAGCAGGCGCGGAAGCTCTCGGAGCTGCGCCGTACGCGAATAAAGACTACATCGAAGTCAGCGCGAGGACAGTAGCGTCATTTAAAAAGCTGGTGACGCACAACATCATTTGGCTGAAGATGGACATAGACGGAGCCGATCTGGCCCGCTTGGCCCTCGAGCGCAACTTGCAGAAAATCCGGGCGTTCTGCGCGGAGATGCCCACAGCGCGACTGCGAAAGGCGCGCAACTTCGAACATATTGGTCCGACCGAGTTCGCGGGCATTCAATAGCGATTTGACAGCGCAGGCTTCCGCTTCATGAAGTCCACCGAGCAGGTGCTTCATTGGAATTGCAGGACAAATCCAAAGCACACGCGCGCAGGTTACGATGCAAATCGTTGGTCCTACAAGTCAGACGCTGACGAGTTCGCAGACATCAGCGTCGCCGAAGACATGCCCGCGAAGTTTCGCATCCTGCCATCGGCCTTCCGCCATCGAAGGTCTCGGCAGAGCAAAAGCTGCGTTGAGATCGCCCCTGCCAGGAAATAAAAACTAGAGGGCCTCAAGAGGGGGAACTCGAAAGTATTCGAATATATTTCTTGGATCCTATAACGCGCGATATACGTTCGCAATGCAAGAAGCCTTGGTTGGCATATTCACTCGTGGCTGCGTCTGATCGCGACATCCATAATATGTTCTTCTCAACATCCATATTCTCGTCGCCAGCATCGGTTCCGCATTCGTCCTCAACCAGCATTGCTGTCATGCGTTCCTTCGTCGTCGTATTTCCGCTGGGGCCTGTGGGCCATCTTTTTCGGGGCGTTTGGAAACGCCGCGGGGGCCTCGCGGCGTCTTTTTCTCGGGCCGTCTCGGGGTCTTTGGCCCCGTGCATGAATATCGATTGCATCGTGATCGACGCGAAGAAAACTGCGTTATCTGAAGTGCTGGCGACGCGCAAAATCACTGGGCTAAAGATGGATATCGAGGGGGCCGATCTGGCCTGCTTGGCCCTCGAGCACAACTGGCAGAAGGTCTCGGCGTTCTGCGCGGAGATGCCCGCAGCGCGACTGCGAAAGGCGCGCAGTTTCAAGCGGGCTGGCCTGACTGAGTTCGAGGGCTTTCAATAGCGACGACTCAGCGCAGGCATCCGCGTTACTGGACATTTCCAAAGCGCCCGCGCGCAGGTTGCGATGTGAGCGCCCAGTTCTACAACTCAGACAACGACGAACTTGCAGATGTCAGCGTCGCCCAAGAAATTACCATTAAGTTTCATTGCCCGCCGTCGAACTTTCTGGCGGAGCAAAAGCTGCTTCGAGACCGCCCCCGCCAGGAAAAGACTAGAGGGCCCCAAGAGGGGGAACTCGAACTGGTTGGAACTGATTGGTTGGATGCTTACACATGCGAAATATAAATTCGCAACGAAATAAGATTGGATTAGCTTATTCGCTGGCGGCCGCGTCTGAATCTCCAATCACAAATATGGGCTTGCATTCATAGCGAGCGGGCGTTCACGCGGTAGACAACGTGCTGCCCGCTCGATCGAACAAACGCAACAGCGCGAAGTTCGCCCAAGCATGCGACGACGATATACAACGCGCGCTATAGAGATCATAGGACTTCAGCGCACGGCCATGGACATGACATATGAATGATGTGCGTTGTTGTTCTTTCTGATCGCGCAAAGGCCTCTCATGGCTGCAGCGATTGCGGCGGCGTCTCCTTGCGCATTGAAATGTCGCCTGCCCATCGCAGGTGGGTGACGCGTCGTTGATGCTGCAATCATCTCCCCGACCATGTCTTCGTCGCATTAGCGCCAGAAAAGCCGGGGATTGCCCCAGAAAACAGCCTGGCGGTCGCGCGCAGACCAGGTTTGCGATTGCATCTTTGCAGAACAAGCGGGCGGTGACAGATGGTCCACGCTGCGAGCGGCGCTCGGCTTTGTCGCGCGGTCTTCGAACGCACTCCTTGATGGCACGCGTCACCCCGCCGGCCGCGACGACCAGAAATTCGATGACGGGGCGCGCCAGACCAACGGCGGCAAAGAAATTGCTGACGGATGGGCAGGGGCGGGCTTGCAGATGCGGGGCGACCGGCGGCGGCATTGCTGGGCTTTCCATTGCCCGCGCTGGAATTGCACCGAACTGGCTCTGCGACGCGAGCAGCGGCGGCGACCCGAGCTGGACAACCGCCACGCATAGCGCGGCATGGACGAGTTGCAGACTCACGAGACGCATTTGCAGAAGATGCATTCCACGGGCAAGCGAGCGTCCAATGCGTCTGCCGCCAAGGGTTCGCGGTTGGAAGGGGGTCGTGATAGATGCGTTGCGTCGCGTCGACTTGGGGCGGGCATCTCGCGCCGCGGGCTTCCAGGGCGGACGCGGAAAACCTGCTTCCTCGACGATGCCTTTTTCTGGTCGTGGGGGGCGGCGACACCTGGCGCCAGGTTGCTCCTCTTCCTTCTCTGCCCTCTGCAGTTTTCCCTGAGTCTGTCTCTCCCCCGTCTTCGCGCTTGTTTCGCTCCCTCCTCCTCCTGCCCCCGCTGCTCCTCGTCGTCCTCTTCCTTTTCTCCCGCCTCCTTTTCTTGGCGCATTCCGTTGACAGGTCTGTCTGCTGCTGCGCGCGGTTTGTTCGCCGCCAGCCGAGACGCTCGCGTCGCCGAGCACTGGGGCCGCCGCGCCTGCCTCGGCAGGAGGCGACGACGTGCGCGAGCTAGCAAGGGGCGAGTTGCTCGGCCGAAACATCGATGTCTCGATAGATTCGGAGCGACGACTTCGCACGCGGCGCTCGGACAAAAGGACTCCGGCAAGGCTTGCCCCCCAGAACACGAGGGCGCCACCGGGAGAGGAATGCCACCGAATTTCGCGGCGAAGGCGTCGCAGGCCCTACATTTCGCAGGATTCGCGGCAGGCTCGTGCCGGGAGTTAATTTGTCATTCGCCGCGCGGTGACCCGCGGCTCGCCCGCGCGCAGGTCCTGGTAGATGTTTATGAGTTGCCCGAGAGAGATCCCCGGAATCTGGGCGCGGCGCCCTCGTCTCGCGGAATTCTTTCGATTTGTTAGTTTGGGGAAGTTGCGGGTGGAAGAAGAATCGCGATGTCCGCCTGGGCCCTCGTCGGAGGAGCGGGGGCGCGAGCGCGGCGGCGCGCGCGGCCGCGCGCGGCCCGCTGCTGGCAATGGCGCGAACGCGGGGGCGTCGCGCCGTGACTAAAGCCGCTTCTTTGCTCTAGTAAAACCGCTTTCTCGCTTTAGCAGAGCCGTTTCTCTGCTCTAGTAACGCCGTTTTCTTCGCTTGAGTAACGCCCGCCGTCTGCCTTTGCGGGGCCCCGGGGCAGCGGGGCTAGGGCCCTGTCGGGGGGCGGGGGGCCCCTGTCTTCCCTGCCAGTTCACCCCGCGATGCATTTGCTCGAGTAATCAGGGTCGCGCTGCAGCGGGTCGCGGCGACCCTCAGATGTTTTCAGCGAGCTCTAGATGCTCCTTGACAGGAGATTTAGGGCGCGAGCGCACGGCGCGGCTCGGCAATGGACGCGCAACAGAGCGACTGCGCATTAGTAAGGGGCCTGTTTCTTTAGCAAATAGCTCCTCCAAGGTAACAATGTGAATTTGCCGCGTCTACGTGTCAGAGTTGCGGTCGCTCTGCAGGGCGCCTGCGCCGAGTTCAGCCGCGCTGCGTAACGCGACGCCAGAGGGGCGGTGGGATATGACATCTAAAATCCATATATTCCAGCATCTGCGCGACCGCCAGGCTGCTTTCTGAGGCGCCCGCTTGTTTTTTTGTTATTCGATTTGTTCCTCACTTCAGCGTCTTGGCTGCATCCGCCAGCCCGGCCCTGAGGAAAGATTCCAACCCTTGAAATTGCGGAGAAGAGCGCAGAAGTGGGGAGGGCGACCAGGAACAGGAGGGCGGGGGAGGGCGGGGGAGAGCGCAGAAGTGGGGAGGGCGGGGGGGAAGGAGGGGGAGGAGGGTGAACGACCGCCCCAGGCCAGCCCATTCATTGCGGCGAGAGGGGCTGGCTGATCCAGGGTCTGGACGTCCGCCCCCCGGTCCTCGCCAGCCTCCTTCTCCGCCCTCCAACGCGTCGCGGAAACATGCCCGCTCCTCCGAGTGAGGGGCCCGACCCTTCTGAGCGAAAGT